GTATTTTTTAAAAAATTAAATTTTAAATACATTTTTTTAAGTTGTGTCTCTTTCACACTTAAAATGAAATAACTCTATTTCCTTTAAAGAATAGTTAACTTATTTCAAATTATATTATTAGATAATTTATACTTATCCACAAAAAAAGATTTTTATAGTTATGTCTAGGTTTTTATATTATATCTTAGAAATGAACTTTCATTTACTACAATCAGATTTAAAAAATAACAATAAATAATTATTTTTTTTGCAAAGATTTGTGTCGTTAGTCTTTGGAATTTCACAAATTTATATTTACAAAAATTGAAATCAGATTTAGTAATTTAATTATAAAAGAAGAAAGATAAAATTTAAGTTGAATTATAAAAATATATTAGCGGGCCGGCCCTCTGGGCCGAGCTCAGCTTTCCACCTCTAACTATCAGCATTTTATATAAATAATTTTTTTTTGCAAGGATTAGTGTCGTTAGTCTTTGAAATTTCACAAATTTGTATTTATAAAAATTGAGATCAAATTTAATAATTTAATTATAAAAGAAGAAAGATAATATTTCAATTGAATTATAAAAATATATTGGCGGGCCGGCCCGCAGTTTTCCACCTCTAGCTGTCAACATTTTAATTACACTCTTGCAATAAAAAAATGAAAGTTTAATTTCTTTCTTATGTATTAAATAAAAATTTTCATTTTTATAGTTCTTTAATTTAAAAAAAAAATTTACAGAATGACAATTGTCATTTTTTATTTAAATTTAAAATTCAAAACTTTTTATGTTAATTATACATTTTTTTAAATATAATTTTTTTCTATTTTAATTTATGATTTTTATATATTTTTTTAATTGGTTATACATGTATATTTAAAAATTTTATGTTAAAATTTAAATTTATTTTTTGTAAATTATAAATTATGCCATTTCTTATTTTTTCTTTTAAATTTTAAATTTTAAATAATTTTTATCGACTATAAATGTATTTTATAATTTTAAAATTTTTATTGTTTAATCTATAATTTTATATTAAATTTAAATTTATTATATATATCTCTTTTTACACTGCAGAAACAATAAATGCTGAACTATTTTTTCACCTATCAAATTCAAAATTTAAATTTAAAAGTTTGAATTATAAATATTAAAAAAAATTCTCACTCAATAGACTTAAATAATAAATATTATTAATAAACTTAAATTCTTTCACAAAAAGTAGTGGAAAACATGTATTAAAAACCGTGCATATTCTCCAAGTAATAACTTCTAGTTATTCACTCACGACATAGAAAATTGTGTTAATTACACTCTTACATCAAAAGAATAAAAGCTAAATTTATTTCTTATATATTAAATTACATTTTTGTAGTGATTAAATTTTTATAATTTATTTTTTACAAAACGATAGATGTCATTTTTATTTTATTAAAATTTAAAATTTAAATTCTTTGTCATTTTTATTTTATTAAAATTTAAAATTTAAATTCTTTGTATTATTTTTTGTATTATTTTTACCGAGTGTCACAATTATATAACTCCATTGATAATAGATACTAATGCATTCACTTGTATTTGATTGTAAACTTTAATTGTAGCATACGTTATCTCACCATTAAAATCATCAATAAATTCAAATGTTGAAAATTTAGGGAATTGGTATTCATTTTAATTTTATTCCATCAACATACATTAATGAACTTTTCAACGAACTAAAGGAGGTTTTTTGAACATATTTTTTGTATTAAATTAATATACACTTTTCAATAAATATTATTATTCTCATTTCTATGTAGAAAATAGTGAGATATTAATACAATTGTCTGCCACTAATTAATGTTGAAATCTTTTTCTACCTATATTATGTTTAAAATTCGAATTTTGAAAAAGTAGTGTGGGTATTTTTTTTTGGTAAGCAGTAGTGGGGGTATTAATATAGATGTTTGCCACCAATTAATGCTGAACTTTTTTTACTCTTATATTAAGTTTAAATTTCGAATTTTAAAAGTTACTTTAATAGGCCTGGCAAATACCAATGCAGGAGTTAGTGAGATCTTAATTGAGTTTTTAAAAATATGTTCGATAACAGTGATTAACAAACGAATAAAAAAAAAGGAAAGTTCACCAATGCCGGTTTGTTTTAGAATCATCTATGGCCCAGTGTTTTTTATCACATATGTCCCATTGATTTGTAAAAAATAAAAAAATCACGAGGAAAAGTTCGATAACAGTGATTAACAAACGAATAAAAAAAAACAAACAGGAAAGTTCACCGAAGCTGTTTTGCTTTAGAATCACCTATGACATATGTTCCATGGTTTGTAAAAGTAAAAAATCACGGGAGCAGATAAAAAAACATATACTTTTGCAAACCACACGAGTGATAAAAAATAATCAAAGGCATAGGTGATTTTGCAGTAAATGGTTTGTTTTAGAATTACCTATGCCTTGAGATTTTTTTTTTATCACATATACCCATGTGGTTTGTGAAAAAAAAATTACAGCTGCATGTGTGATAAAAAACATAACTTTTTGCAAATAGACAGTTTAATATTAAAATTACAAAAAAGTTTTCATAGCTATATTTCAATCTTCTTCTGTTTCTTCTAATGTTTTGAGAGATAGATATTAAAACAAGTTTAATATATCCTATACAAATAATGGTGGGTCCAAGTAATGTTGCTTATTTTTTTTTTTTTTTTTTTAAAAATCTCTGAATAAGGAAAATGAAAGGATCAAAATTGATATTGATTTGGTATACGGAGAATTGATAAGGTTCTGTACTAGTTTAAAGCTATTGCTGGTTTCATTTGACTTTTTTGTCTCTCTCCAATTAAACTCAAATTGAAACCACTTATGCAATTGAACCCAATAACATTATTGTAAATCAATTTTGAAGTTCATGAGAATAAATGTAACTGAAGCTACAATGTTCATGCTTCATCACCACTCCAATTATTCTTCACCTTTGGACCTGTGGGTCCTTCCGCTCCCAGCACTTCCTTTGGTAAACTCTTTACAAAATTTTCAAAAGCAGATTTTAGCTTCCCAGGCAACAACTTCTCCACCTTCTTCAACTCATCATCTATACTGTAATCAGTTTTTGGACCCCATTCCCTGAAATAGTTCAACCAAGCTGGCTCTACAACTGCAGATCCTAAATACTCTGCACAAACCAATTCATATGTCCCCATATCCATGACTAAGTCACCCTTCGAATAATTACTCAGATGCACGGATTACTCAAAGGTGTTTAATATTTACTTAACGACGTTTAATGTAAATTTAATAGATATGTTTAATTGTTGGAATGAGATAGTATAGGTGGGTTAATTGCATCAATCTAAAGTTTAGGGTAGTTTTTTGAAACACCACCTAAATTCAAGGTGGTTTTAGGTAATTTAGCCTAAAAAAAACAACGGAAAAAAAAAAGAAGAAAAAAGAAAAACTTCTAGGGCTCACGATCAGATATCCCTTTGGAGGGATATAGCTTTTCTTCCGGAAGTATGGGGCCACCAGCTATTGCATTCTTAGTTATGGGTTATTTAATCCATGATAGAATAAGATTATATGTCGATTTAAAAAAGCAATGTCTTAGAACCTTACCTGAATAGCCAACTCCCTGGTTGGGCAAATGCAGAAAGCTTGAGGAGCCTGCAACTTTGGATCAACTCGACTAAGCATACCAAGAAGGAAACACGTGGTTTTTCCGGAACCGTTATGCGCGTGTACGATCAAATCCCTATTCGGAGGATTCAAGATCATAGGCAAGGTTACGGCTTGGATCTTACTAGGTTTCTGGAACTTCATCTCCACGTAGAGTCCCTTCAAAAGCTCCGGTGAGAGATTCAATTCTTCGAAGGTGGTAGCTGACGTGTACGGAGTGTCGCCGGACGAAACCTGCACCGAAATTCAAAACCATAAACCGTCAATTTCTCGCCGAGAAAGAGAGAAAAGAGAAATCGGGAATGGGGATCGAACCAACCGCTTGGATGTTGGAGTCTTCAGGCTCGTCCAAGAACTTGGGAGAAGGCTTCTTGTTCTCGTCGCTCGTTAATCCGACGACGTTGAGCGACGAGGAAGCCGGATGAGCATCGCTGGCGGAGGTGGTTTCGGCGGTGGATGGTTCTGCCATAGCAGTAGACGAGAGAGTGAAGAGTAAAAAAGGAATTCACAGTTTCAGAGGGAAGGAGAGAGTAATGGATTGAGGTCTGTGAAGAGTAATTAAATAAAATAGACATATACTACTAATATATATAAAGAGAGAGGGTACTAATTTGGAAAGATTTTCTATGGATATAATTGCAAAAAAAATCTACTAATATTTAATTATGATTTTGAAGGATTGAAAAAAATCACATAATATTTGATTAAGAATTTAAAAGATTATTTTAGAGTGTAGTTAAATTCGGTGGTATTCAACAAGTATTTTAAATAAAGAAAAAAAATCTTGTGATATCAAAATATATATTTTAAATAAAGAAAAAAAATCTTGTGATATCAAAATATATGACGATTTTAATTTAATTTGGAAAGATTTTCTATGGATTGAAATTTTAAAGAATTTCGTAATTCCAACGCAAAAAAAATCTACTAATATTTAATTATGATTTTGAAGGATTGAAAAAAATCACTTAATATTTGATTAAGAATTTAAAAGATTATTTTAGAGTGTAGTCAAATCCGTTGGTATTCAACAAGTATTTTAAGTATAGAAAAAAAATCTTGTGATATCAAAATATATGACGATTTTAGTTAATTTTCTATTAATGTAAATTTTATTAGATTTTTTAGTGAGAAATACAGATATGATGTCTTTTTTACAATCTTATACTAACCTCTATGTTTTCTTAAGATTTCTAATTGCAAAGTTTTCTTCTTCTTTTGGCGGGTCTACCCGCTCGAAACCGGGTTTCACTATGAGAGCTTCATCAAAGCTAAAAAAATGTGATCCTAATAGGTATAATAAAGCTTCAGATAAAATAATGTTTAGTTTATTTAATTTTTTGTAGAACCAAAATTAATTGATCCTAATAGGTATAATAATTAAGCTCAATAGATATAATATTAATAAATATTAATAATATGCTAAACAATTTTTCATGCAGAAAGTAAGGAAAACATTGAATGTTGAATTGTTTTACCACCTATCAAGTTCTAAATTCAAATTTAAAAAGTTTGAATTTTAAATATTAAATATTTTTTACCCAATAGGCATAATAATAAGTATTATTTATAGGCTTAACGATTTTCCATACAGAAAGTAGTGGGAAACATTGATTGCTGAACTTTTTTATCACGTTCAAAATTCAAATTTGAAAAATTACTAAAAAAGAAAACTTTGAAAATGGTTTCAAGTGTGAACAGAGAGTGGATATAGAAGGAAATAATGACACATCAGCGAAGTTTCAAAAGAATGATTTTGTCACACAGACAAGATTGTAACACTACATCATGCTATATTATTCTTTTATCACGAAGACACTCTATATTAAGAAGCAATATAATATTGATATGAATATTGACATAATATATATTTTTTTAATAAAAAATTGTTATTAAAAATAAACTATATTAATACTATTTTCTCTCTATAAGTCCTTACAATTTTTTTGGTAAAATATTATATAAATTTTTATGACATTATATGTTCCAAAAAAATCAATTATTAAGTACCTATAAAATTTAATTGTTGGATGTATAATTCTTCAAAAATCACAATCACGGGTAAATATTTTGTGTTAATTATGCTCTTACATCAAAAGAGTAAAAATTTAATTTCTTTCATATGCATTAAATTAAAATTTACATATTTATAGTGAATACATTTTTCTACTTTTTTTAACCGAATAATATTTGTCATTTTCAATTTTGTTATTTAATTTTAAAATTTAAAATTTAAATTGTTTTGTATTAATTATACATACTTTTAAAAAATAATTTTGTTCTCTTTTAATTTATAATTTTTATATATATTTTAAATTGATTATACCTATATATTTAAAAGGTTTATATTAAATATTTTCTTAAAAATACTTGTATGGAAATTTTTTATCTTTTTATATTATTCTTTTAAGTTAAGTTTTTATTTTATTTTCTTTTAAAGTATAAATATGTTATTTCTTAATTTTTTTTCAATTAAATTTCAAATTTCAATTTATCAACTATATATATATTTTTATAATTTTAATTTTTTTTTCGTTTAATCAATAATTTTATTTTAAATTTAAATGTATTATATATATATACATATATATATTAACATATAGATAAATTTAATGAGTTGGTTGTATAATTCTTCAAAACAAAGACTGTAACTACTGATTACCAAAAAAAAAAAAAAAAGACCGTAACTACTGAAAAATATCTAATTTTATTTTTTTGAAATGACAAAATCCTACTAATTTATAATTCTGCCAATTTTATTTCGTGATATACTAATATGCTTTTTTTGTTTACTTGAGTGAATATTAGTAAAGTATACCGTGAGTGAATTTTTAAAATAAGCAATTTTTTTATATATCCGTTACCAGAAAATCATTCTGTTTTATGTCCTTATTTTATGTAGAATTTTTGTGTTAATTATGCTCTTAAATCAAACAGTAAAATTTTAATTTCTTTCATATGCATTAAATTAAAATTTTCATTTTTATAGTGATTAAATTTTTCTAGTTTTTTTTAACCGTATAATATTTGTCATTTTCAATTTTGTTATTTAATTTTAAAATTTTAAATTTAAATTATTTTGTATTAATTATACATTGAAATTATTTTGTTCTCTTTTAATTTATATTTTTTATATATTTTTTAAGTTGATTATACATATATATTTAAAACGTTTATATTAAACATTTTCTTAAAAATACTTGTATGGAAATTTTTTATCTTTTTATATTCATCTTTTAAGTTAAGTTTTTATTTTAGTTTTTTTTCAAGTATAAATATTTTATTTCTTAATTTTTTTCAATTAAATTTCAAATTTCAATTTATTAACTATATATATATTTTTATATTGTTAACTTTTTTTTTCGTTTAATCAATAATTTTATGTTAAATTTAAATTTATATATATATATATATTAAGATATAGATAGATTATTAAATTACCATATATAATATCCTTAATTTTAAATTTAATTTATATGCCAATTAAGCGTAATGAAAAGGCTATTGAAATTAATAAAAAAAATTATAGAAATAAAAGTGACAAATTAATGTTATATTGTTAATTAAAACAAGAAAAGAAGACAACAGCGCCATACTAAACTTTTTTTGCAACTTTTCGTTGGGTATAATAAATGCATATTTCGATTCTTTCCCTTTTGAATAAAGAAACATAAAAGATTCCTTTTTATAAACATTTAACTGTCAATAAAGAATCATAACTGTTAGTCATTGTAACGGTAATAAAAATCAGAATAATATTATGTTGAAAAACAAAACAAATCAAAACAAATCAAATCAAATCTTGAGGGGATGATTAATATTGAGTAATGATTTCGTTGCTCCACTGTTAAATTTTTTATAGGTCATTCTTATCCATTATAGTTTTTATTATCATACTATTTCTTTTTTCTTGCTAGAATATTATTACAATATTCCATATTTGTAAATTTTATATAGAGATTAATATTTCTCATGTTATAGAAAATAATTTTTTTATATATTTTTTTTCATTATTTTTTTATATGAATCCACATGGATTTTATATACTTTTATATGTGTATAAAAAATAAATTTATCTCCCATAACAAGAGAAACATTTAATCTTTTAATATGCCTTAAATCCATGATGAAAATTCAAAATCCAAGATTTTTCTTGCATTTTTTCAGGATGAAGGGTAAGCGGACTGCAAATTCCATTTTTTGCATTTCCCACCGAAACAAAATCCTTCTTTTGACCACTCACTTTTTTCCATTTGACAAAAATATAAATAGTGGCAAATCTCAACTACTTCCACTGTATAATACGCTGTCTCAGATCTTTGGACATTTCGTCTCAAATGTTGGAGAAATAAAAAAAAATTGCATATCTTATGCAATTCTATTTAATTTAGAATATATTTAACATTAGTTCAGTTTATATAAATTTTCTGACATTATATGTTCCAAAAAAATCAATTATTAAGTATCTATAAAATCTAATGGTTGGATGTATAATTCTTCAAAAATCACAATCATTGGTATATCTTTTGTGTTAATTATGCTCTTACATCAAACGAGTAAAAATTTAATTTCTTTCATATGCATTAAATTAAAATCTACATATTTATAGTCAATAAATTTTTCTACTTTTTTTAACCGAATAATATTTGTCATTTTTAATTTTTTTATTTAATTTTAAAATTTAAAATTTAAAATTTAAATTGTTTTGTATTGATTATACATACTTTTAAAAAATAATTTTGTTCTCTTTTAATTTTTAATTTTTATATATATTTTAAATTGATTATACATATATATTTAAAAGGTTTATATTAAATATTTTCTTAAAAATACTTGTATGGAAATTTTTTATCTTTTTATATTATTCTTTTAAGTTAAGTTTTTATTTTATTTTCTTTTAAAGTATAAATATGTCATTTCTTAATTATTTTCAATTAAATTTCAAATTTCAATTTTATCAACTATATATATATATATTTATAAATTAAATTTCAAATTTCAATTTTTTTTGTTTATATATAATATATATATATATATTATAATTTAAATTTTAATTTTTTTTGTTTATATATATATATATATATATATATATATATATATATATATATATATATAATAAATTTTAATGAGTTGGATGTATAATTCTTCAAAACAAAGACTGTAACTACTGATTACCAAAAAAAAAAAAAAAAACGTAACTACTGAAAAAATATCTAATTTTATTGTCTGATGGGCTAGGATTAGTGGGCCCAAGAGTAGCAATGCAAAATTAGTTAGTGAATTAGTTAGTTTGTTATGGAAATTATTCTAGAATAATTCTAAATAATAGGATATAAGGAGGGGATGTGGGAGTGTGAGGTATTCATTCATTCAGAATATTTGGAGTGGGCCCTAAATTTTTTTTTTAATATCTGCACATTTAGAATAAAAGAATAAAGAATTTTTTTTAAAGAAAACTTTAACTAAGTA